TGGCCTTGTGCTACAAGATGTTGCACGCCCTCAGGGCCAAGCAAGGACATCAGCTTATTAAGTCCGTCCTGCATGTCCTAAGGCAAAAAAGAAAATTCCTCGATCCTCACAGAGGATCAGTCTGAACGACTCAAGTGTAGATTGACTACAAGTGCTACCAAGTGCAGCGAGGCTGCCGTAGCAAAAGGCTTGACGTACTTGAGGCCACAGACCTTTCGTTCTTTACAAGAATTAAGTATGAGTTAGCGTATCGCAATCCGCTTACTCTAAGAGTGATTATTGTCCCCCCCTTACGACTGCTAAGCTTGGAGATTGCTAACGCAACTCGCTCTTGATCTGATTGACGTAAGGCTGAATCCACATCTCGTGTACAATGAATTATTCTTTGCTCTGGCCTTTAAAGTCGTAGAAGCGGTCGTACTTCATAGACCTCTGCAAGATTTGGCAATGCTTCCCCCGGCACCTGCTCATAAATTTTCCGGAGGTGAATCACTAGCCCTTAGTAGATATAAATACCTTGAGGTTAAAGGTATACGCTTCCAAGTCTTGAATCACCATTTGCGCTAACCCTATTTGGTCAATTATAAGCAGAAGCTTTTTGAAAGTCTCTAGTCGACCCGGAATAATACAGGTTTACTATCTAAAATAAAATTGCGTTAGATGTGCCACTGTTAGAATACCACCACTCCATTTATTTATTTCGAAACCATGCACGTATTCCATGACGGTCTTTGGAGATAAAGAGGAAGGTTATTCCTACATGTACGCACCCGTATATTCGACCTATATCTGATTTGCGAGAACGAATTTGTTGATAAAAATTATATCCTCGGCAAATGTTGATCAGCTAATTAAGTCAAAGCTAGGCGCCATGCCATTATGATGACCATGATACTTGACTATTTAATAACGCATTTGTCTGTCTTCCTCGGTTATCTTTATTTTGTCTTTGCTCTTCCACATTCAAAGTGACGAGCTAATAGATCCGCATTCAAACAGTCTTCATTTTCTTCGTAATTTCAAGAAAAAGCATGTCAATTTTGTAAAATTATTTTTCTTACGTTAATCATCTTGTTAGGCTTCACATTTGCAGTTGCAGTGGGCATAATAACATTCTTTGCAATGTATTTTGATATGTCGTCTATAGCTTCAACAATTATATTGGAGTCATTCTTGTTGTTGACATCAAATAAGCAAAGTAAATGAAGCAAATTAGATGCATACTCCTTTGTACTCAATAATGATGTTGAACTAAATACCTTCTTGTCGCAATGATCGCTAATGGTTTGGAATCTTTACATGCTGATACGCGGCTCGCATTTCACGCATCTGGTCCTCAACCATGCCATCGATCGCAGCATTTTTCGCTTCTTTTGATGTTAAGCTACTTGCGCTGTCCAGAAAAATTCGTTCCCATTCACTCACTAGAGCATACAGTTGTTGACGTGCAGTCAAATGTCTTGCTTCAGCTTGAGAAAATTGGGCTCCTGTCATCTCAAACGGGCATTCCATGCGACGTTCCCCAAACGGTCCAACATAGACATCTGCTAAACGAGCTTTCATATAGTATACCGGTTGACTTTCCGGTTTGAAGTGCAAAATGCGGTCAGTATTCAAGTAAAACAGCGGAACATCCTTCCAGTTCGCTTGCTTGATTGGAAAAACCTGCGCCATATCGCCGCATAAAGTCGATTTGTTCTCACCATAGTCGAAATATTCTAACCCGACCGCCCCAATAGCATAATCAGAGAAAGAGTATTGGGATTCAGCTAATTCTGCAGCATAAAAGTACAACTCCTTGTCACCATATGACGGAGGTGAACCAATGTCACTAAGCGTCTTAAATGACCCAAGAATGGCAGTAGCGCGTGGTTGTTTCTTCTTGTTCCACAAAATAAGGGACGAGTCAACTTGATGTCCAGTTCGGAGATTCCACGAGTGACTACTGAGTAAATAATCACTCGGTTCAAATTGTAATTGGAGCGATACAGGATTTGGCAGGGTAGCTTTCGCACGCTCCAACGTAGGAAGAAAGCGAAAGGGCGTAGGATCAAAGCGTGCCATGTACCGATGCTGCGCTGAGACATTTCCAGATCCACCAATGCGTTCCGCCATGTAATAAATTTCGTGTGCGATGCGATCATTCATGATAAACGTGCCAGTGGCTTTGTATCTCGCTGTGTTCCATAATAGTGTTGGGCTAATGAAGTAGCTCGTATCAGCGTCGATCATCATCACTTCTTCAAATTTCGAATAAATGACTGAAATGATTTTAACATCGAATGATCGAAATTTAGCGTGGCATGCTGCAATATTTTCACAAAACAGTTTTTGAGCATCATTTCCCTCAATCGTTGCAGCCGCTGCCACCTCACATACGTCATAAATATGAATCAAACCAAAGGCTGCTTTTTGAGGAAGTAAACGTTGCATGTCAATTGATAAATCTCCACAATGTGGCAATTCAATCGAGACATTGACACCCATAGTCCGCAATTCGAGAATCAACGAGGCTGCCACTTTGACATTTGCGTCGTAAACGGGCATAACAATTCCTCTCGATTGTGACGTGTTTTGTGCAATATTGTGAAGCGTCTGAACAAATTGCAGCTTAGGGTCCGAATGGTTCTGCACGATGACTTGATCCACGCGGTGAAATGCGTGATTTGACGATGATGGCGTATTCCACACAAGTTCAAAATTCAGATGGATGGCCATGAAAGTAAGGGAAAGCAGCAGAACGATAGACCACACGCGCGGCGTGCAGCGCTGCTCTAACATGTTCATTATGTAACAAAGAAAGTGGACCACTGGTTTTTTTGTCACCACATCGTAATCACCGAGCAAAACAGTCGATTGCCCTCATGGCTATAAATTTAATAACGGTGTGATCACAATCTAGAAAATACTAGGTATAATGATAGGTTTTTTGAGCACGTCAGGATTTCATAATTTCGAGGTAGTATAATATGAACCTTAAATAAAGCTACAATGCCCTAAATGTAATATTATTCACTGGTTTGCTCAGTAAGAAATGAGTAATTCATTAGAAAAAAAAAAGATGGAGGTACCGGATATGTAATTCAAAATTGATCATTTTTCTCACTTAGCAAATATTGTGCTGACACCCAACGCCCAAGTCATACACACTCGAATGGCGAAAATCGACTCCATTTCTATACTCTAGTTTAATTTGCAGAACATAATGCCGAAGTATCTTGATATACTTAATTTTATCTTGTTGAAATGATTGACGCATTCATCATTTGATGTCGTATGCAGAAACTTCCTGAACAGCATAATTTAAGCTGCAATGAGCATTGTTCCATCCATCGGAACGAGCCGATCCGGCAGAAACATTTCTTCTCCGATCCAGTTAACAAATACAGGGCTAATGGTAGCACAGCCAAAAAATACGAACGAAACCCATTATATCGCTATGGCGAATAGCGAACGCTAAGACGATACTTGAGTACTGAGCTTAAATATCACAATAAGCAATAACTAGTACTTTGATATTCGTCCAGGTCTTATGGTGTGTATCACACAAATATACTGTGCGATGCCCAGTCGACGATATGTTCCTAAAGAGGAATGACGAGGGTCTGCAGCCAAAAGGCAATGAGGATTCGGCTCAGTTGCAGCAAATGCTTACATCCTGCATGATAAACCGGCAAATTTTGGTGATAATTTCGATTTAATATCACTGCTTGGACGTATACCCTGACTTTCGTTGTCATCGTTAGTGCTGCATTGCCGGAGTCTTGATCGGCATTCCTATCAGCATTAAGCGGAAGTCATACACACCATTTGCGATTCTGGGTGTCTTAGGTTTGCGGCAACGACTTTGCTAAACTAATGTTGGTCGGTAGTCGTGTAACTTTGAACGCTATTTCTTGTGCTGGTAACAGGCTCGTTCGTCGACTATTCGATTCCGTACACGACGGACTGCCGTATGATTCACAACGCGATGCAGTTAGCACTCCAGCAGGAGAAACAAAGAAATGAAGCGGCTCAGACAAATGAGAAAGAAATTTAAGTGTGTAAATGAATTTATCGCTTCATACATCATTGACACTTTATAATTTGCATACTTTGGTTTCCATAATACATTTCGAACTGTCAGAGCAATGTAGCAGGTAGCTAGTCTTCTTGTTTTTAATCTAAGAGCATCTACTACGATATCATTGTAAAAAGTCATCTGTGTTTTCTTGAGAGGTACCATCAGACTTGTATGAAGCGACATAAGGATGGCTTTGCATGCTCAAGGAAATCAGTACTAGCCTTCGCCTTGTTTGCTCTGTGCCTTTAAATATTACTATTGCGCCCAGTCCACTCGTCAGGACAGGCATGTTGTCATATAAAATTTATCGAGAACAGAACAAGAAAGAAAGAGATACTAATGCACCAACATCTTCTGCTGCAATTCACCAAAACATCATTCTGCAGCCTCTATCACCACTGGCCGATGGATGCCCTTAAGTATTTAGTTTGCTAGAGTACATGAATGAAGCTTTACCTTCGAATATAAATTAACATGGATCCAAGAGACAAATATCATTTCTCTTCATTTCCTTGATCACGCAGTCGGCACCGACGTGGACACGCTAAGTCCCATAGGTGGCAGAGAAAAGGAGATCGCTTTTTCTCTAATCTTCTTGCTCACATTATTCCCCACGTTTTTTACTGCTTGAGCTCTTCCAAAGAGCGCCTTGGGCACAGCCGCCGCTGCTGCCGCGGCTCTCTGTTTCTTTGCTCTGCCCACAGCACTTTTACATGACTCAGGCACTGCGGTTTGCAACACCATTTGTAAGGCCTTGAATTGTGTTTCAAAAAAGACTTCAAGTTCATCAGGTGCCAAACCTAGCATTTTGTGCTGCGGTTCGCCCCAATAATTGCGCTGCCACGCGTGGATGGCATTTCCCCACGCCTTGCGCTCGCCCCACGTGGGTGCACTCATCACCAATAAGATTGGCGCTCCATATACAAGTACTCTACCATCACGAATTCTTGACCGCTGTAATCTAACGGAAAAGCTGTATGGACAGCCGCGACCATCTTCGTCTGTAATGCCGCGCACTTTGAGCCTTGAACGTGAGAGAATGACCTCTCGAACCATCACACCACGATCTCGTCTTGTATAAAACTGCATCTTGCCTTCCCCGAGCACACAGTAGTAAATATGGCTACGGCGGCCCTCATCGTGCACTAGCAGAAAACCCTCCTTGGACATGTCCGCCCCTAGACTGGTGTGCTCAGACTCAGTGTTTTACGGGATGGGATGTATAATTTAAGAAATAATGTCAGGTTCAGTAAGCCTCTGCCTTTTACCCAATCACTGGCAAGCTGTCGGTGTTATAGTATAGTCCGGTATAAGACATATGTATTATTCTCAACTGCATGGAAATATGATAAAAGTATGATTCATGTGTAACATACATCTAAGCTTAGAGTGAAAGTCCATCGGAGCGATCGCCTCTAATACGGACTGTATCGCTGCCTCCTCCTCAGTCAATGCCACCAATGGCTCAAAGACTTCTCAAGAGAAGCCGTGGGATTAGTGCACGGGAACAGTGAACAATTCTCGTAAAAGTCAAAACATATTGTAATGGCTAAGTGTAGCTCATTACAATACCCTAGAATGAAAATGCATCAACGACTTGGTGCGGTGAGCGATTTTCGAAGTTCAGTGCCGTATACAGCGATAGCGCGATGGAGTGTGCAGAGTTCGATGGGGAGACGGGTTTTAGTCAGGAGCCATTGTGATCGAGGATCTGGCGGTCTCTACTGCTGATTTTTGAGAAATTTTAGCTTTGACAAAGGCTCAATAAAGTAAAATTGCTGGTGATGTTCCACGCCAAGAGATTTTCGCGAATATATCGCTTTTATCGGTATATAGATAAGAGACAGAGTCAAAAGAGAATTTGTATTGACTGGACGTCGAGCACGAGTTGCCACTAATGCAGTAGTTGCTGAGTTATGACATTTTTAGTGCTGCAAAAAACGCCCAAAAACGGCCAAGCGGACTGATCGTGAAAGAATGTACAGTGCTAAAACTGATAGTAGAAAAATTCTGATTTTATTACAACCGTGCACGAGTACTGGAGAGATTGGTCATCTTGACGCTAGAATAGTATTGGAAGAAAACACAGTCAGTGTTCCGGGGTACGTACTGTAGTATTGTTTACATACACCATTCATTTTTGCACAATACACTGTTGTGCAGTTATATGAAATTTACATTACTCTTTCGTGCGAATGTAAATATTTATCAACATCGAAGTATTGGTACATATGAAGTCCGTTTGTAAGAGGTCCGTGTTATGTAAGCTTCTAGTCGCGTGAGCTTAATTATATTATGAGATATGGTCAAACGTATATATTTAGTATTGGTGTATATAGTATACCTCCTTATTATGTCCTATTTTACAATAGTGTAGCAACATCGACAACTAGTTATGGTAGAGTATCTCAGTATAGCTCCTGGGTTAGGCGTGCGTGTCTAGTACCTGTGCGTTTATTGACTTTTAAAAGGCAAGTTTCTAATGTGCACTGCCCGGGAACCTCATTGCACATAATCCTACTCTAAAATCCATCCGCGACCGACTCATGATACGCCAAGTTATTTGATATTCTTCTGGGCCATCTAAACCAGTTTTGCTTAAGTTGAAAGTTCATCCAGACGGGATCACGGAACGTGTTGACGAAGGGTCAATTACGGTAATCGCTCGCTCGGAGGTGCTCACCAGCTATGCAAATGCGCTAGTGAGACACCTCAAGAAGCCCACCATGGGTGTCGACTGGGCAAAAATAAATAAATCTCAACCCGAGAGCGCTACGTTGAGCTTCCGAGCTTTGAGGCCGGAACAGAGACTATATCAGTCTGTTGATTAGTGAAGTTTAAATGGCCACAATTTTGCTCTGCTCCGAGTCAAAACAGCGTGTCGCGCCAAGCTAGAAAAGATCGCGCAGGGAGGGACATTGAGGTGTACTTTGTCTGTGAAAAATGCTCCTCTCACATCAGAAGATTTAAAGCAACATGTTTGCACCACCTAACCAAAGGTAGAGCTCATTCGGGATTCTTGCTCACCTATGAGTTGAAAACTAGTAATTACGCCCGGGAATTATGTAGTCTTGTCGCCGCAATGGTGATCGAACCTCTTGCAAAATACTAATCATCGTCGTGGAGAGGTTTCAAATTGGTGAAGTCCGCACCAAAACCTTCTGCAAATACCCTCTTATCTGAAAAGTAATTGGCATGCACTTAATACGGAATACATCTTCTGAACCGCAAGGATCAGAAGTTATAATGAAGGGCAATCTCTATCGCGACAGCATCGGTCACTTGATACACGGGTGAAGAGTACTCACCCCAGGAGCTTCAATGGTCCGCACGTTGGGCTGGTCACAAGGAAGCAGTAGTTTACAGTATAAAGGATGAGTTATTTCTTTCAACTTCACTTGAGAGCTGCAACTGCCTTGTCAGGTGCAAGAGAATCATTTCCCACGCTTTACCTGCTATGATCAGGATACACAGGCATTAAGCCGTTTTTGGCCGATGAACAAAGATATCCACAGCAAGCGGGATTTCTACCTGAAACTCAGTAGCGATACACCGAGGATCACGATAAAATACCTCCTTTTACTGCTTCTATCCAGCAAGCTTGATCCACCGCCTCTTTTGCCTTAAGGCTCTGCCCCACGCACTCCGCAATTTTATTGCTAGGCAGTTCGGCAACTGCACATGACCTGTCGTAGCTTCGTTCCCGCCTTACAAGCAAAACTACCTTCTTGCAAAAATGATTCAAAAGTCGACAAAGGCTTAGAGAGAAGTTCATTGCACCTTACCGTATTAATCCGATAAGTTTGTGGCTCATGGCGTTCCAACACCGCCAAAACTAAGGTGAGATCATACTTCAAATTTATGGGAAAGCTTCACGCTGTCAAAGTCGTTAGGCTTTACTTCAGATCTTAACAGAATCCATGACGTATGTACCGGTGTCCCCGTCGCAGGAATTTTAGATATCTTAACGTATTCGGCATCATTACTGCATCGACACACTGTCCACTATTTCTAACGGTTGCGCTATTTTTGGACTTTTCACGGCTCTCAATGCCCGACCTTTAATTTTGGACAACTTCGAGCATTAAATCCTTCTAGAGCGAGTAGCTTCTCAAAATGACGTTTCCCGCGATGAAACTGTCGGGCGACCATGCTTGACAGTCCGATTCTATGTAATTTCAGCAGAGTACAAATGGGGCACACAAAGAGTATATATTTTATATAGAAAAAGCATCTGCGAGTACCGCGGATCTCCTCAGTAGATAAGCGAAATTTTTCACCCTCTACAGCAGCACAAACGTCCATCGCGCTGGAAGATCATACTGAGATGAAATAATCATTCCTATGGTGTGATTGAATAGGAGTGCAGGACAACAAAGTCGCCAAAATTGAATGTTTGACAAGAGCTGTACATATCAGCCCTCCTGTATGAGCCCATTTAGAGCGCTTCTAAGTGTATAGAGGAGGATAGCTATCTTCAATGATTGACCTTACGTTCTATACCAGAACCAGTACGAGTGGAGTGGATCGCAACCCGCAACCTCCAAGAGTGCCCAGAGCCCTAATCAAAGCAAATGCACTCTATTTTTCAAAATTAAAACTGTAATTTATTGTTTAAGCTGCGGCAGAGCCGACAATATGTTAAACCTTAGAATGTCTTAATAAATAGCAACACCTAATTAATATGCATAACTACTGGCAGTCCCGCCAGGAAGTGGCATCGTGTTACGGTATAGCCACACAATAGTGTGATTAAACCAATTTGTGTAATCCAGCCTATGTACGGGCACACCATCTTGTATGACCCGCCCTTTCATACAAAAGTACGTGTAATCCCGTTACACAGCCCCCCACAAAATTGTGGAAACCCACAATTCACATTTAAATGTCGCCTCATATGAAGCTCGCGTGTCTGATACACCATTACGTCCCTAGGACCATCTTTGAACATTCTCTGCTCAATGAGCGTTGTGTATATGACACAAAAAACACCCAGCCTAGCACGTTCTGAGGGCGCCCGCGGATAAAGCCCTTCTTCTTCTTCATCTTCTTCTTTTTATGTACAGAGTGCATCTCCGGACACGACGTCCGAGGTTTCACGGGAAGCACATCCCAAGCCCTCGGCAACCAAGCGCCACCAACCGCGCCCGCCACGGGCGAAGGATGCTCTCGTCGAGAATTTGGAGGAAGTCGACTTCAATTCAGAAACTCCTTTCCCAGCATTGAAAGTCGAAGAGGATCGACGTCAGCTCAGCTCGAAACTTGCGGACACTGTGTCCGTTCCCTGACGTCTTCTGGGGACAGTGGTATTATTACCAATTGCCTCGACGAGGCACAGAAGCAGCAGCTGGAGGCTGCCCACACGGCGGCTCTCATGCGCTCGTATCCACGTTTAATTCTTGATCCTCGTGTTGAATACGGCTTCCGCTCGGCAGAACCCGCTACTGAAGCAAAATACGCGATCACTCAATCGTTAGGCATCTATGTAGTCGGCTCCCCGGCCACTACATAAGCTGAGCTTGATTAGCGGTAAGCTCTCCGAGTTCGCTTCTTAGAACCACAAGAAATTCCAATGAATCGGTTCCGCGCTCGACTTTGAGCTCAAAAGGAGGCGCTTCCGTACACACAGTGCGGACTATTCCTGTGGTGCTCGCCTCTGGCAAAACCGCTGCAAATTATGATGAGCTCTTTGAGCGATGGGTGCAGCGGCACCGGAAACGTTCTTCGCTGTCTACCTTACAGCGAAGCCACAGGGAAGTGGCAGTGCCATCCTGGAACTGAGTTTGCAAAACCCAAGGCGCAATGCCGAATTCTGAGAATTTCGCCCTGCGACACGTGTAGTAATCCATCCCCCTCCAGCGAGCTCTGTGGCTGCACACGGGTGAGTCTACAATCACAGCAGCAAAGGGCCATAATTTGAGCTCAGCTCACGGCCCTCCGGCTTTCCGGATTACTGCCGAGAAGCGCAGGCGTGCAACGAATAGAAGCGTCAGGATCCCTCTGATCACAAGCATCCACGACGTCTAGGCAGCCTTGTCAAAGTGGCACCTCAAACATTCGTCAGTTCGCGGAGTTTGGGTAACCCCGCCACTTCACGAGATATTGGATTTGACCCTGTCGACGATGTCGATCCACAAGGCGTTCCACGTGGTAGTAGATGCCACCATTTG